GTATCTAGCCACTGCGCTTCCGGGAGTGATTCACCTAGAGACACCTCCTCCATATCCAGTTACAACGCTGTTCAACCAGTCCGTATGGCGGAAGCGGGAGAGAAGTTGTAGACAGTACCCACAAAAGCCCTCCCCCCCCCTCCCTCCTTGGAGTATCGGTCAACTCATGAGAAAACTTTGACCGAACTTCAATACTTTCTCGAGGGAACGAGGACCTCTGTCATTTGTGCTTTTGGAACAGTCAAGTGTAAGGACTAGATAGTGAGTTGACTCGCACCAATGGGTTTTTATAAAGGAACGCAGCAGGTCTGACGAGATTTAGTCTCCAAGTTTGAAGTCACTCAAACTCAAAGATAGGGCCATTCCAACGCCTTAATGCTGGAAAGATAGCCAGCGCCAGGACCTAACAGAGATAATGCCGCGTTTGGCTCCGATACGTTGTGACACGGTGGAGATTTGTATAGCGAAGTGTGACGAAAACGATGAATTTCATCTACCGGATATGACAACAGCGACTGCGAGGGGACGGAGTGGGTTGTGGGATGCTCACTCAACACACCTTCTCAAAGATCATATAGCTGGCTCTTGAAATAGCTGCGGAAAGATTTGATACGAGATTTAAAAAACGTCACGATGTTTTGGGACAACTAATAGAAGCTGTCACGCTGAGAGTGTAAGAGCTATATAGGTTTTGTCCGCCGCAAAAATGCTTCAGCGTTTTGTGTTACTATTTTTTGTACATTCATTGCTGATTAAAAACTCATTCTCCCTTGCGTCTCAGTAGTACATCCTGAAGAGAATTCTTTGCGCTATCTGATATAATTGCCGTTTCACCATTGCTTGACTGACCCCTTTTTTCAAGAGTTTTCAAGCATGTCAAAAGAGCAACTTCGGACGATATTGTTCTTCAACTACAAATTGGGTCAATCCGCAGTCGAGACAGCTCGAAAAATTAACCAGGTGTGGGGCCCACTAGTGTTGGAGAAAGCACCGTGCGACAATGGTTCGACAAATTTCGTTCTGGAGATTTCAGCCTTGAAGATGAACCTCGTAGCGGTCGACCTAAAGCAATACCTGACGAAGATTTGAAGGCATTTGTGGAGGGTGACCCATCCCAAACAGTTCGAGAGATTGCAGAAAAGCTAGGCGTTGGCAATCCACTGTTGCGGATGGTCTGAAAAGCATTGGGAAGGTGAAAAAACTCGACAAGTGGGTGCCCCACAATTTGAGTGACCGGCAGAAATTGGCACGTCTCGAGGTTTCTTCTTCACTGCTTTTGCGCAACAGAAACGACCCGTTTTTGGACCGAATTGTCACCTGTGATGAAAAGGAGATCATGTATGATAACAGGAGACGTTTCGGACAGTGGTTGGATGCCGGCGGACCCCTGAGGCAATTTCCAAAGCCGAATCCTCACGACAAAAAGGTTATGGTCACAGTGTGGTAGTCACCTATCAGGCCAAACCATCACAGCAGAGTCCTACTGTGAAGAAATCGACGAAATTGTACCGAAAATTCAGCTGCAGCCAGCACTTGTCAACAGAAAGGGTCCGATTCTTTTGCATGACAACGCCCGCCCACACGTTTCACAAATCACTATCCATAAATTGAACGAATTGGGGTTGAAGTTCTACCTCACCCACCATATTCTCCAGACCTTTCAACCGACTATCACCTTTTCAAACATTTTCAGAACTTCCTTGCTGGAAAATACTTCATCAATTAGGACCAGGCAAAAAAGCCTTCGTGGATTTCGTAGATTCTCGACCACCCAGTTTTTTCCTTTGATGGGATTTCTCGACTGGTGTCACATTGGCAAAAGTGTGCTGATTCGAACGGTGCTTGTTTCGACGATGAGTATTAAGAAAGTTATGATCGTTTCACTCAAAAAGCTGAGAACTTTCCGGACAACCTAATACCATAGCAGCGTAACAGATAGCGCGCTCCAGGAAAGCGAGCGGTGCGGGTTCGAGCCCCGCCTCGGGTCAACACTTTTGCCCATAACCCAGAATTCTTGTGCTGACTATTTTGTTTGTGTTGCAGGTCTTTTCGCTCAACCTATCAATGGTCAAGAAACAAAACAAGCCCGCACCGTTTGATCATTTCCATACTTTCAGCGTACATGGCTTGCTACGGAATTCGATTGTCATCGCTTTTCGAAGGGCATGAATACTTTCGCAGTAGAGCGACAAAAAAACTACACCAAAAATACAGCGACTACGCCTTATTAAGAGGCTATGAGCATTTTCAGTTCTCATTTGGCGTCCGAGAATATATCAAATGTCTGTATTCATTTATAAAGACAATAAAACATATCCAATATTCGCACTCTTGAATCAATTGCCGCCATTTCTTCCCTTCTCATCATTTCATCTTGTCATCCCTTCCTCTTTCCTGAATAATTGGCCCAATGGCTAAGAAGACCGTTTCAGATGAACATCACTGTACTGCTGATTGTCACCTTTCTTGCCATCACTCTCAGCTCTGTACAAGGGGCAGCATCGTACAAGGCTCGTGATAAAAAGCGAAGGTATTCTGGGGAGACAGGCAAGAGAATCGTAAATTGCCGCTTCGTCGCGCGCGGCAATGGGTGCGACGTTCCTTAATTTGCACTACCCTTTCGATTGAGCATCGGATTTCATGTAGACAAAGACATTGAGACAATATATATTCTTGGTCATACATTGTCTATTCTCGACCAATACCACCTGAAATCGTCGTCATTAGCGGGCGCGACGTCGCACGCGACGCTCACAGACGCGGCAAATTACGATTCTCTTGCCACGTATCCGGTATTTTGTGGATTGAATTAGAAAGCACCGTAATTCTCAGTGCTGTTGCAGTTGCTACTACTACGACGGCTATGTTGTCTGTCGTACACAGGTCACCACCTACTACAAGCCTAGTCGTAAGGTCGGTTACATTCCTATAGGCGTCCAAAGCGACCGTGATCGAGAACGCTACGAGAAGGAGCAACGCTTCAAGAAGCTCTCCGACCATCTCAACCCCGAAAAATCACTGGATGACGCTACGGGAAAGGAAATTGCGGTTGGCTTAATCGATAACATTCTTGCAGACCTTTCCACACCAAGACGTACAGGTGGCTGGCCTTTTGATATTTATTCTCGTGCCAGAACTTTTTGATACTTATTGCATTTGTGAGATTGAGTAAAACAAAAACAAAACAAAAAATGTATGGACCTTCAGCGTTCACATTTTATGACGAATTCTGCAAATGCTTGATAATAAATTGATTTTGTACCGAGAAAGGCCACGTAATACAGATAGACCACCTTCTGGCTAATTAGAATGACTAGCCAGTATGCTAGCCAGTGCACTCAATCCATAAAGTCCGGTTGGAAAGACAGAGGATCTTTAGGAAGACGGAACGCTCAATTGGCAAGGGGTGGGGTTATGTTCCTGATTCATGCTTGTGGTATTCATACCCGCTAAGGTTGCCCACACCTCCTTTGCTCTCATACTCCATGGAATCCTTAGCGATTCTCACTAATGTAAGCAGAAGTCAACCGCAGAATGATTCGTACGTTCCATACACGCGATAGTATGTTCTTTGGGGCTTAGAGTAAACTACAGACCTGAAATATGACCCCGGCTAATACGCTTTTCCTAAGGAATGAGGGCAAGTGACACGATAAATTGACAATACGTAATCTGAATGTTGAACACATAAAAGAGGCGCCAAAATTTATTGCGAAAGACTCAAAAGATTCAAAAGAATCCAAAAGTTTTCACAAAAATTTTTTATTGTTAAACTTTGTGAAATTAAATTTTAAAGTTTTCACAAAAATTTTGACATTTTTGTAAAAACTTTTGGATTTTCTGAATCTCCTGAGTCTTTCTAAAT